GATATTGTTCCTTTTGGATTGGTCACACAGTTCTCTTAATACTGTTTCATTCCTGGAGATCCTTTTATCTCTCTCTGCATCAGCTTCTATGCATTCCTGTTCTCTGGTTTCTATTCCATCAATGGCCTCTTGCATCTTATCCTTCCTGTTTATAAATCCTTCCAGAGATTGTTTCATTTCTGTAATCTCCCTCTGGACGTCTATAATCTCCCTCTGGACTTCATCCCTTAGCTCTTGCATATTTCTCTGCTGCTCTATCAGCATGGTTATGAGCTTTATTTTTTATTCTTTTTCAGGAAGACTGGTTAGGTCTATCTCCTTTTCAGGGTTTGCCTCTGTGATCTTGGTCTGTGTCAATTTCTTCTGCCTTTTCATGGCGATAGATATATTTGTGGGGAGCTGGCGTGTGTGTTGTGTAAGAGAAAGTCCCTTCTTGCCAGTTTATGGCCTTCCTCTCCTGGGAGAACAGCAGCCTCTAGTGGCTTGTGCTGGGCAGCTGCGTGCAGATGGGGCTTCTGATCTTGCCCGGCCGCTATGGAGTTTATTTAGCTCTGCAGTTGCTGTGGGCTTGGCCTGCCTCAGGCTGCTGCTCCAATATGGTAGAGCTGTGTCAGAGGGGGAACAGGCAGGATGCTGTTTATCTCTGTGAGGGGCCTCCGAGCTGCGCTGCGGGAGTTCGGGCGCCCAGAGTTCCCCCGGATTAGCAGCTGCTGGGCTAGTGTCCCAGGATGCTTCCGTCCAGCTGTGGGGTCCCTGTCCCTTTAAGACTTCCAGAAAGCACTTGCTTTTCTTTGTCCCCAGTGTGCCGGCTGCAGGGACCCACTCACAGGTCTTACTGTTCTGTTTCCCTAGTTTCCAGCACCCCACACACACACTGTGTCTGCGCTCTGGTGCGGATGGCTGGGGCTGAGTGTTTAGCAGTCCTCTCCCTCTCCCTCCCTGCTCCGACTCCTCTTCTCCCGCCGGGAGCTGGGGTGAGGGGCACTCGGGTCCCGCCAGGCCAGGGCTTGTATTTTACCCCCTACGCGAGGCGCTGAGTTCTCACAGGTATGGATGTAGTCTGGCTGTTGTCCTGTGTCTTCTGGTCTCTCTTTTAGAAATAGTTGCATTTGTTGTATTTTCAAAAATATATATGGTTTTGGGAGGAGATTTCCGCTGCTCTACTCATGCCGCCATCTTGGTTCTCCCTGGTTCATCTTTTGCACCCTCAGAACCCTGGTCTGTTTTGTGTGTGTGCATGTGTATATTTATTTGTTTTATTTTTCATATTTATTTAGGAGTTTTTAAAGATAATCACTTAAGAAATGTTTGTTACATGACTATTCTGCCTGGGTTTATATTAGCAAATATGCATTCATTTACTTGTTGGTAAAGCATATCCTTTGCTATTATAAATACAGGAACTGATGACTCGGTTGTTTCTGAAGATCGACTTAATGAGACTGAACTGACAGATTTAGAGGGCCAACAGGAATCCCCTCCTAAAAATTATCTTTGTGTGGAAGAGGAGAAAATCATGGACCATTCTCACGCTGATGGATTACATACCATTCATGAGCATGATGTCCATGCTGCTGCACATAACCACCATGATGAGGGTAAAACTGCGCTGAGGAAACATAATCATCAGTGGCACCACAAACATTCTCATCACTCACACGGTCCCTGTCATTCTGGAGCAGACCTGAAAGAAACGGGAATAGCCAATATAGCTTGGATGGTAATCATGGGGGATGGCATCCACAACTTCAGTGATGGGTTAGCAATTGGTAAGTGGACTTAAAACTTGGGTATAATTGGTTCCTTAACACTGGTTTCACTCTTCCACTATTTAAATACTAATCTTAGGAACTGTAATACATAAGATAAAAATAGGGGTTTAAAAAGTACACTTTAAAGTAACTATTGTCATTTGGTTTTTCCAAAGGCTGTGTTAGTATTCTTGATAAGTTTATTTGGGGACATAAAAGTATACTTTCAGGGTTTTTCTTTGAACATGTACCTAAATGTTAATAATATACTTCTGTATAATCACTATATTGGAAAATGTATCTTAACATTTTCAAATAGATTATACACCTCTGAATGAAAACAAATTAATTTCAATCTTGGGTTTAATAATTTTTTTACATTTTTGAAAAGGTGAAGAAAAATTCTACAATATTAAAAATACATTGTACTTAATATATTATATTAGAATCTTGCTACTGTAACCTGATTAATACCAGTTTAGGAAAACTTAAACATGATGCAATACATGATTTTCTTTAAGATCCAGACTCCATTAAATAATCACTCAGAGATAGGCTTTGGTTTCTTTCAGAAAGGTGAGACCATATATTTTGAATCCACAGTGGCTGTCAGTGTTCAAGAATAAAGAATTTTACTTGTAGAAACAGATGGATTTATATCTCTGGTTTCAGTCCTGAAAACCATCAGACAAATATAGGCACACCTCAGAGATACTGTGAGTTTGGTTCCAGACCACTGCAATAAAGCAAATATTGCAATAAAACTCATTAAATAAATTTTTGATTTTGCAGTGCATATAAAAGTTATGCTTTCACTATACTGTAGTTTATTGAATGTACAACAGTATTATGTCTTAAAAAACAATGTATATACCTGAATTAAAAAATACTTATTTGCTAAAATATGGTAACCATCATCTATACTTTCAGCACGTTGTAATCACTGATCACAGACCACAACAAATTATAATAATAACAAAAAAGTTTGAAATATTTCAAGAATTACTAAAATTGTGACACAGAGACATGAAGTAAGCAAATGATGATGAAAAATGGTGCCAATAGACTTGCTTGATACAGGGTTGCCCCAAACCTTCAAATTATAAAAAACACTGTGTCTAAGAAGCACGATGAAATGCACAATCAAATGAGGTGTGCCTGTAATATTTTGTACCATTTATTCTCTAGATCCAGAAAAGTCTGGAATAAGGAGACTAGTCACATTAATATCTATAAATGCTAATGTGAGAAAGCAAGTTCAATCATAGACTTACATGACTTGAAATTGGTAGCATTAGACTACCACTTAGAGATTAGAGCACTGAATATCAGTACTGTTCCCTAGCTATAAGTGAGTGAGTGAGAAGGCTTCACATAAAAAGAATTGAATTCAGTAGGGAATATTTTTTTCATTGAATAACTCTTTCTCTGGTTGTCACACACATATTTTACCTCAGTATATGTTCAAACACTACAGTGTTTAAGTGAATCATTCATATATTGTGAAATCAGATAAAAGAGACTGTACCTCTCATTATTAGTGAAAATGGAAAAACAGAAGATTTATAAACCACTTTTTTTGCCCCCCTCCAACTCAGGAGCAGCTTTCAGTGCTGGATTGACGGGAGGAATCAGTACTTCTATAGCTGTCTTTTGTCATGAGCTGCCACATGAATTAGGTAATGCAACCTTAAAATTTTTACCAGATTTCATCAAAACTAAGACTTCTTTGATTGTAAATGCATCCAGATTTTAGAGATGTTAAAATATAATGAATGGCTGATGGCAAGCATAATATGTCATCATTCTCTTATTTCTTTTATAATCTTTGTTATATATGTGTGTATAAATTTATGTAAACAATTGTATCCCGTTCTGCCTCTGTCTTTATTAGTTATTATGTTTTTAAACTCCATCCAGGTTACCATGAATTAATTCAATATGTTGCTTCTGCCAAGTACTTAACCACTTTGCATATTTAGCAGCTGGTATTGGACACACCGTGCCTTTAATTTCCTGCCACCACAGACTTGGTGCTTATAGAGCCCTTATGAGAACGTCTTTTGTTCTCATAACAGTTGATGGGCCCTAGGATATGCACACCAAGGACGTGCTGTATCACTATCCAAAACGGTCACACTAGTCACTAACCAGCAATATGTAAACAGAGCTCCTGTGTTTCTATATCCCTGCAAACATTTAGAATTAATTTTCTAATTTTTGCCATTTTAATAGGTGTAAAATGGTACTTTGTTGTTTTAATTGGCATTTGTTGATCTACCGATTATTTTAGTTTCTCTTCATGTGTGTTTTCTTCTTTAAATTGAAAAATGGAAGTAAAAGATGTGAGGATACATCACAGAAAATATCTGAGGGATGTGGAGATAACATTAATTTGAAAGGAAAACCACTACCTAACTTTTGAGTCCAAGGAATTTCTTCATGGGCTCTAATTTTTTTTTCTTAAGTTTATTTGCTTATGAAATGGTTTATCTATCATTTGACTGTTTAATTGTCTTTATTGATAGTAGCCTTATTTGCTTAGTTTGAATAGAATTTATTCATACAATTTGCTTAGGAAATTATTAACTGTTCACATAGAGCAGAAAAATCTATTAGTGCCTACCTGATGCTGATTCTTTAATGCTTGATTCCTTACAGTTTTGTTTACCTTGACAGCTTTGGGCAAGGTAATATTACATCTTGTTAATGCCACATTTTCTTTTACCCCATCATGATTGTTTTTTGTTGTCTCTTGTTTCAATAATACCAATATTTTTGATACATCTGCCAATAAGGTATATGAAATGGACTGGAACGGAATGAAACTAGAGGCATTCTTCAATGTGACTTGTTTATATAATTTGTATCTTAAGTAGCTTCCTTAACCTATAAGGTAAAAGCTTGAGATTCATTAGTCCTGCTTTCAATGACCTTCATTTCTGGCCTCTACCTACCTTTCTGGCTTACTTGCTATACTTTCTGTTGCATAGTTTCTACTTCCTCCAAACATAGTTCACCGCACATGCACTGTGGGTGCCTGAACCTGTTTCTTTGCTTATCCCATCCTCCACCTTGCTTGTCCTACTACCTCTGTCTGTAGTTTATCCTGCTAAGGTCTTTTCTCTAACTCCGGTATTGTCCTCCAGTGCCCCATGCCTTGTGTGACTTTGTCCTCTACATCACTTACTTTCTCCAGATTCTTCTTTTGGTGCTTAGTATATTTCCACTTTAGATGTCCTATTTCTTTAAATGTACATTTTCTTTATGTACAGACTCTATGTCTTATACCCTTCTCTGCATTCCTGTGTTAGTAAGAGAATGATCTGCCAGATACTTCTTTCAGTTCCCTAGCAATACCAGTCAAGACTTCCTGTCAGTTGTTATACATGAGTAACATTGCCTAATAGTTTTAATCTTTTACCTTTTGTTTTTTTAAATTGCTTAGTAATAGACTTGGATAGTTGTACACTTATCCACGGGTATGCTTAGTAATAGACTTGGAAAGTTGTACGCATATCCACGGCTATACTAGGACAATCTTTAACTTCTCTTACCTACTACCCCTTCAATGGAGTATGTCTGGCCACTTCATGATTAAGTGTGGTTTTACTGAATTGCTCTAACCCCCAGGAATCTTTACTGAATTGGCAGGAGGGAATTTGGAGATTAGAGATGGTTGCCTTCCTCCCACTCACTCCTTTTTCTTTCTGTAGTTTCTTGTTTTAGGAATGACACACAGGGAATGACAGCCACATGTAAAGCAAATGCAGTACGCATCTTAGCGGCTAGGTAAACCCTGGGTACCCGATACAGAGCTCAGGTAAAAATAACTGTAGAACTCTGCTTGGGCCAGGACTCCTCAGTGAGACATTCAGACCCCAAACCCCTGCCTGTTTTACCCCGCAAACCTGAGGTTGAGTGTTACTATTGCTGTGAGAGGAAACATCAACCCAAAGGTAGTGAGCTTTGCCAGAAGGAAAGGAGTGGGACCCTACAAAAATGTTCATTTTCTCCCAATGCCTGGTGCTAAATCTACATAAACTGCCCTGTATGCTAGCTTCATAGGCTCCTGGGGAATAAAGATCATAAAGAAAAGACCCAGCTTTCTCCTCTGGAGGTTACAGAAAAGACTTTGGCCCTTGTATCTATCAACAAGGTAGGAAGTGTTTTACTGACTCCATAACTAAAGGAAGTAAAAAAGAAAAACATGCTTGCAGACCCTAATTTCTGCCTTTAAGGCACAGTGATAAAATAGGGCTGGGTGAATGCCTCTACTCTGATTAGATTACCTGCTCTTACTTGGAGAGGATATGGAGAGAAGCATAGAAATATCTTCCTCAGAATTCCTAAACAAGGGGAAAGCCATGCCCCTGGAGGCCGACATAGAAGCATGGCAGTTAGAAAGGGGGAGTCATCTCCCCACTTACTGGGTTAAGACGTTGGCAAAAGCAGCATGATATGTCGGGGATATTCTAGGATAATTTATTTGACCTGAAACCTCTTCAGCCCTAGTTAAATGTTTTATTATAAATTCTTTAAACTGTTGTGGGATTCCTATACTAAAGTATTACCCTAAGGGGAAAACCTTGTGTTTAAATTACAGTGCAGTGCAGTGGAGACTAATGCTAAGTTAGTGTGATTCCAAGCTCTCGTGCTCCTCCTCTGACCGCACTGCTGTTTTCTCTAATGGTTTATCAGGTGGGGGTTTTATTTGTGTTGAGGAACACAATATGAAAAATGTGTACTTTTAAGCCTTAGAACAATATTCATCTCAGGGGGGCACACTGGAAGAGGTGTGCAGAAATTGAGACAATCTGAGGGAGTGGAAAACCTGAATTTGTTTGCTCTGAGGTGTGGTAATAGATGAAATTGCTTGAATAATTACTACTCTCTCTTTTGTTTTTTCAAAATTTGTGTAGCTGAATTTAAAAGTAAGTTATAGTATTCCTCTGTATGTTCTGCTTTTTTCCATTCTTTCAATAAGGGGCTGTATAAACATTTGAAAAATAATTTTTTAGGGAAACCTGTATAAGAACGTATGAAGGAGAAATGAGGTTGGGGATAATCCAGAAGGGCAGATAATCCAGATCTTTTTTTTCTGAGAGGGCATCTCTCATATTTATTGATCAAATGGTTGTTAACAACAATAAAATTCTGTATAGGGGACTCAATGCACAATCATTAATCAACCCCAAGCCTAATTCTCGTCAGTCTCCAATCTTCTGAAGCATAACGAACAAGTTCTTACATAGTGAATAAGTTCTTACATGGTGAACGGTGCAAGGGTAGTCATCACAGAAACTTTCGGTTTTGATCACGCATCATGAACTATACACAATCAGGTCAATTATGATTATTCGTTTGATTTTTATACTTGATTTATATGTGAATCCCACATTTCTCCCTTACATTATTATTATTATTACTATTATTTTTAATAAAATGCTGAAGTGGTAGGTAGATGCAAGATAAAGGTAGAAAACATAGTTTAGTGCTGTAAAAGGGCAAATGTAGATGATCAGGTGTGTGCCTGTAGACTAAGTATTAATCCAAGGTAGACAAGGGCAACAAAACATCCACGGATGCAGATTTCTCTCAAAACAGGGGGGGTGAGGTTCTAAGCCTCACCTCTGTTGATCCCTGATTTCTCACCTGATGGCCCCCCTGCGACTGTGCCTAATCCAGATATTTTTGACATTGAATAATGTGTTTCATGAACTTGAAAGAACTAACCATTTGATAAGTAAAGGTAGCTATAGTATTAAGACTCAGCTCAGAGAGGCTATAATGCTGTACATTTCCGTCTCTCATGTTAATTAAGGGTTAAGTAGAAACACAAGTTAAGAATTCCATAATTTGCAGAATTGTCCAGGAAAAATTGAACATTCATTGTATAGATTTATACCTGTGTATATACTTGCACTATTTAAGACAACTGTAAATGCATGCTTGTTTAAAAAAAAAACTCAGTAGTTCATGTTTGCAGATTTTAACATAACTAGAATTTGACCACATTAATCTAATAGCTTTGGTAGGCACACCTCATTGATTGTGCTAATGATTTTCTTTATCAGCAGAAAGGAATGAATGTTGATTTATCAAAAGATGAATAGATTTACTTATTCAGTATAAATCCCAACTGTGGGCCTATCTGATTTATTTTTCAAATGTTTATACAGGTTCTTACTGAGAAAAATACTCAGATACCTTTGAGAATTTATAACCTGAGATAAGACTAGGACAGATAGATTTTAAATGAAATAATTCAGTGTGATACAAGATAATTATATAAAAATCATTTATGCTGCTATCTATTAGCACTGAACAATTAGAAATTGAAATTTTTAAAAGAGCTATTTATAATGACACCAAAAAAACATGAAAAACCTTAGTTAAGTCTAACAAATGTGCATAGAATCTGTATGTTAAAAGGTACAGATTATCAACAAAAGAAATCAAAGGAGACTTAAATAAGATATTCTAGGTTCAGGGACTAGAAGACTCAGTAATTTTAAGATGTCAATTATCCCTATTACTTCAGTGCCTTCCCAATCAATCCCAGCACACTTTTTCAAATGAGTTTTTCAAAATTTTATATGGAGAGGGAAAGGAACTTGAATAACCAGAAGAATTTTTAAGAAGGACAACAAAGTTTAAGACTTACTAGCAAGCCACAGTAAACAGAGCAGTATATTCATGAAAGAACAGACACATAAGTGAGTAGTAGTAGTAGAGTACTGAGTTTTAAGGTATATGGCAACTTCTTTTCAACAAAAGTACAAAAGAAATTTCATGTAGAAAGAATAGTTTTTTCAACAAATATTGCTGAAATAGTTGGATATCTACTTGCAAAAAAACCCACAAACAAAAAACTCACATCATAGACAAAAGTTGACACAAAATGGATCATTGATCTAGATGAAGAAACTTAAAACACAGGTTCTCCTTGCTATCTGAAAGTAGAGCATTCCTATGAAATCTTTCATAAACTGAAGTGGTGTAAAGCAGAGAAGTAATTACCATTAATTTATGTGGAAAAATTGTTTAGCATTCCAAACCCAAAAAATAACCTCCCATAGGCTTTTCTGATGCTTTAGTATGCACAAAAATAAGTTGAGATAAGTACAGGTGCTCATACCATTCAAAGCTTTATGGTGGCTTGATACTGAGATGCTGAGTGTCCTCCTTGCGGAAGGAGCTTGCCAGTGCCACTTGCTGCTTGGGTGTGCCCTACCTCTGTACAGCGGTGGCTGTAAAACAAACACTGAACACTATTTTAGCTTTTTTACTCTTTTCTTAAAAATGAAAATCCTCTTCAGATTTCTTTGCAGTTAGTGAAAACAGGTACTAATATAGATCTTTCGTAAAAACATGATGTAATGTGAACTTTATAGAAAAACGGGGATATGTGTACCAGACTTTTAGGAAACATAGTGGGAAAATCTTTGTGTACTTGGAATAAGCTAACTAACCGTTTTTAGGTGCATCAAAAAACATAATTCATTAAGGAAAAAATAAAATGGACTCCAGAAAAATTAAAAACGGTGCAAGGGACACTTAAAAGAGTAAATAGATAAATCACAGAGTGGGAAAAAAGATATATAGAAAGTACGTATCTGATAAAGAGTTTTAGGATATTTAGAGACCTCAATTCAATAATAAGAATACAAAAAAAAATGGTCAAAAGACTTGACTACGTATTTCACTAAAGAAGTTACACAGGTGACAGATGGCCACATGGAATTTCAGTTGCTGGATTTGTTGTTAAGGTCTGCAAGGGGTGTGGGACAGCCAGAACTCTCATAAATTGCTGGTGGGAATGCAATTTCTTATAAAGTTAGGCATACACTGACTGTATGGCCCAGAAATCTAACTCTTAGATTATTTACATAAGAAAAAGGAAAACTTATGTTGACACAAAAACCTAAGAAAGTGTATAATGGCTTTATTCATAATTGCCAAAAACTGGAAATAACTTAAATGCCCTGATAAATGGTATATAAACTATGCGTCCTCTATGGAATATTACTTAGCAGTAAAAGGCAGTAACTTGCTGATATGAATTGTAACATGGATGAGTCTTTACACACATTATACTAAGTGAAAAATCTAGACCTGAAGGACTGTGTTACTATATGATTCCATTTCTGTGATATTCTAGAAAAGGCAAAACTGTAGGGACAGAAGGCAGATCGCTGGTTGCCTAGGAATAAGGGACCTGAGGGAGTTGGGGTGATGAAGTAGTTCGAGAGTTTGATGAGAGGTATGGTCACATAGTATGTACTTTTTTTAAAACTCATAGAATTCTACATCCAAAAAATAAATGGAGAATTATATATGTAAGTAATGTCTTAATTTTTAAGAAGTATTAATTAAAAGTAATTCCTTTTGAGTCTTGATTAGTTAATTCATGCTGTTTGGTTGTTACTCAGGGATGAAGTAAATCATCTTGCTCTCCAGTAACATCTGGGAAGGCATCAAAGTTGGTATAATTTGTACCTGTGATACTTTTGTTCATTTCCTATTAACCAAGACTCCATTTAAAACTCCATTTTGAAATTATAAAAGGAAACAGTGTATTTTATAACCAAAAGATACTTCTCTAGTCTTACTTTGTATTATCTAACCCTCTGCTAAATGAAATTGTCCCTTTAGCACTCTTGGTGTGTATTGAAAGCATGGCCGAGAAATTTGTAAAAAGAAACACTTTGCTTAGAGGAAGCTGAAAAAGAAAGGCCAGAAGAAATTAAAACTCTAGGGAAGAGAAGAGATTAAGGCTGATACTGAATCCAAGTCTCATCAGCAGAATTAAGTTGTTGGGGTCAGAGGGGAAAATGTGTAAGAAGAGTAGTATTAGATGGAAACTGGAGAATGACAATTTAGAAGCCATTGGTACATAATTTCCATAGATGCCTTTACTTTACCCAGAATACTTCAGTATGTAGTTTGTAACAATTTGTTGGAACATGGAAAAATAATGCCTTGCACTAATTTCTTTGTTGTTAACTTCTATCTATCTGTTATAAATTAGGCCCTTGTAACCATAAGAGTTAAAAAAGAACAGGTCATGTATTTTTTAGTCTTGTAAGATCCCTTCTAAAGGGAAAGAAAAGCCCAGTATTCTGATAGGACCTTGTGTTAATTCATACTAATAAGTGTTCAGTAATTGATTGGCTATTCGTATATTTAATAACCAAAACAGAAAAGTTAAAATTAGTAAAACTATGGTGTTTGATCCTTTAGTTGCAAGACTGATTTCTATCAGTTTTGCCCTTCCAGTAACCTCTCAGGAATATTTAATCCTTTTATTTCCCTAGTGTTCCAACTTGGGGCAGGTGAATGAGAAGTCTCTTTATTCTTTATACATTTTTCGGATTTTCAGAATTAAAATTTAATTTTTTTCTGGAAAAAATAAAACATAAATGTGAACAGAATATAGTATTCCTAAAGAATGTGTTACCTCTGTTCTTATGCCATCTCCCTTTGAAAGAAGAGCAGAGATCAGAGCAGAGAACTTTCATTGGTTCTCACAAAAAGAGCAGTGAGCTAGTTCCTTTTTTCCACTAAAAAATTTTTTTACAGTTCATGTACAATGGTAAAATTGACCTTGCTTTTTGACATACAGTTCTTTGAATTTTAACATTTATATAGATTTGCGTAACCACCACTACCATCAGGGTAGAGAACAGTTCCATTTTACCAACAAATCCCCTTTGGCTGTCCCTTTAGTCACACTCCTTTTCCACCCCTGCCCCCTGGTAACTAAATGTTCTCCATCACTATAGTTTATCTTTTTGAGGCACTCATATAAATGAAGTCATATATGACCTTTCAGACTCTTTCAGCATCATGCTTTGAGATTCATCCAAGTTTTTGCATATATTCAGGTTTAATAAGCAAAAAACAAATTTTAATAAAATTTTAGTTTTTATGGTATATGCTTTTTATGTCATTCTTAATTTTTTTAATTGTTTTTTTCCCCTAAATTTGTGTATAAAATTTTGTGGTTTTAAAACTCTCATGTTATCTCTTAACTGCAGGTGATTTTGCAGTTCTTCTTAAAGCAGGCATGACTGTAAAGCAAGCAATTGTATACAACCTTCTCTCTGCCATGATGGCTTATGTAGGCGTGCTCATAGGCACAGCTGTTGGTCAGTATGCCAATAACATCACACTTTGGATCTTTGCAGTCACTGCAGGCATGTTCCTCTACGTAGCTTTGGTGGATATGGTAAGATATTTTATATTTTTTATTATACTAAATCTGTAAATAGAATGCAACTTCCAAGAATAGAAATTTTTGGATCTGGTTTGAAAGACTACTTTAAAAAGTGTAACCCATTTTAAAGACATGATATATCCTAAATAATCTATTAGGAAAAGACACTTGAAAGGAGCATTCCTTCTTTGGAAACCAGTTGAGATGCTGCATGTAATAATGAGATTATTACATGACTTTGAAGATTTTGTAGTATCGGGGTGGAAATGTTTGTTAAGAAAATTATTCTTTGAGTTTGCTTTATGGCAAAAAAGAAAGAAATACTAATCATACCTTTTAAATAAGCCAGTCTTCTGCAGAAAATGGTTCATATTCTAAGGGATTTATGTAATTTCCCTTATTTCTACTTTAATTTAAACTTAATAAATCTAAACATTAACATTTAGTTTTATTTTAATTTTACTTTACTATCCTAAATATTTTAGGCAGTATATTTGCATAACTAGCAACTTGGTGACCTTTTATTTATTAACTAGATATTATGTTCAGTTTTCTTCCCAGTAGGATCTGTTAGATAGTCTTATTTCAAAATTACCAACCTAAGGTTTTAATCACAGTATTAATGTTTATTGATTATAGAAAGTACAGAAATTATGAACAAAAAGAAAATGCAAAAGTTACTTATTCTGTACATAGAAATAGCCATGTCTTCCCTCCTTCTCCTCTTGGATTCTTTTTGTAGCCCAAAGCTGCATTTTTTTTTCATTAAAGTATCATTGATATAGTCTTAATGTTGGTTTCAAATACATAACACAGTGGTTCAACATTTACCCATATTACTAAGTCCTCACCCCCTCCAGTGAGGTCACTTTCCATTAATGTAGTAAGATGTTACAGAATCATTAACTATATTCTCCATGCTGTACTACTATCCCATGACCAACCTATATTGTAATTGTGAATCATTGTGCCCTTTTATCCCCTTCCCCCTCTCACCCTCATCCTTTCCAACTCCTCCCCTTTGATAACTACTGGACCCTTCTCAGTGTTTGAATCTACTGCTATTTTGTTCCTTCTGTTTTGCTTTGTTTCATACTCCACAAATCATTTGGTATTTGTCTTTCTCCATGTGGCTTATTTCACTGAACATAATAGCCTCTAGATCCATCCATGTTGTTGCAAATGGGAGGGTTTCTTTTCTTTTTATGGCTGAATAATCCATTGTGTATTTGTACCACATCTTTATCTGCCCATCTGTTGATGGACACTTAGGTTGATTCCATATCTTGGCTATTGCAAATAGTGCAGTGATAAACATAGGAGTGCATATGTCTTTTTGAATCAGGGATCTTGTTTTCTTTGTTTAAGTTCCTAGGAGTGGAATTACTGGGTCAAATGGTATTACTCTTTTTAGTTTTTTGAGGAACCTACATATTGCTTTCCACAATCGTTGCACCAATTTACATTCCCACCAGCAGTGTAGGAGGGTTCTTATTTCTCCGCATCCTTACGAGTATTAGTTATTTCTTGTCTTTTGGATAGTGGCTTTCCTGATTGGCCTAACAAAAAGTTGCTCATGTTTATATATGCAAGAGATTTTTGCCTGTGTTTTCTTCTATGAGTTTCATGGTTTCATAACTTAACATTTAGGTCTTTGATCCATTTTGTGTTTACTTTTGTGTATGGAGTTAGACAATAATCAAGTTTCATTATCCTGCATGTAGTTGTCCAGTTTTGCCAACACCAGTTGTTGAAAAGGCTGTCTATTCCCCATATTCATGGCTTCTTTATTGTATATTAATTGGCTGTATCTGTGTGGGTTTATATCTGGCCTCTCTATCCTCTTCCATTGATTTATGGGTCTGTTCTTGTTCCAGTACCAAATTGTTTTGATTACTGTTGACTTTGTAGTAGAGCTTGAAGTCAGGAAGTGTAATCCCCCCAACTTTGTTCCTTTTTCTCAGGATTGCTTTGACTATTCAGGTTCTTTTGTGGTTCCATATGAATTTTACAACTATTATTCTAGTTCATTGTAGAATGCTGTTGGTATTTTGATAGGAATTGCATTGAATCTGTAAATTGCTTTGGGCAGGTTGGCCATTTTGACAGTATTAGTTCTTCTTATCCATGAGCATGAGATAGATTTCCATTTATTGGTGTCTTCTTTCATTTCTTTCATGAGTGTCATAGTTTTCAGGGTAAAGGTATTTCACCCCCTTGGTTAGGTTTTTTCCTAGGTATTTTATTCTTTTGAATGCAATTGTAAGTGGAGTTGTTTTCCTGATTTCTCTTTCTGTGAATTCCTTGTTAGTGTATAGGAATGCAGCAGATTTCTGCATATTTTGTATCCTGCAACTTTGCTGAATTCAGTTATTAGTTCTGATAGTTTTTTGGTGGAGTCTTTAGGGTTTTCTATGTATAATATCATGTGATGTGCAAATAGTGAGAATTTAACTTCTGTCTTACTAATTTGGATGCCTTTTATCTCTTGTGTTGTCTGATTGCCATGGCAAGGACCTCCAGTACTATGTTGAATAAAAATGGTGAGAGTGGGCATCCTTTTTTCTTGTTCCCGATCTTAGAGGAAAAGCTTTCAGCTTTTTGCTGTTAAGTAAGATGTTGGCTGTGGGTTTGCAGTATGTGGCCTTTATTATGTTGAGGTACTTGCCCTCTATACTCATTTGTTGAGAGTTTTTATTATGAATGGATGTTGCATTTTGTCAAATGCTTTTTTAGCATCTATTGAAATGACCATGTGATTTTTTCTCTTTTGTTGATATGATATATTATATTGATTGACTTTCAAATTGTGTACCATCCTTGCATTCTGAAATAAATCCCACTTGGTCATGATGGATGATCTTTTTTATGTATTTTTGAATTCAGTTTGCTAATATCTTGTTGAGGATTTTTGCATCTATGTTCATCAGGGATATTGGTCTAATAATTTTCTTTTTTTTCTTTTGATGTCTTTGTCTGGTTTCGTATTAGAGTGATGCTGGCCTCATAGAATGAGTTTGGAAGTATTCCCCAGTCTTCTATTTTTTGGAATACTTTAAGAGAAGGATGGGCATTAGTTCTTTAAATGTTTGATAAAATTCTGCTGTGAAGCCATCTGGGACAGGCATTTTTTTGTTTTTTATGTAGTTTTTTTGATTACCAGTTCAATTTCATTGCTAGTAATTGGTCTGTTCAGATTTTCTGTTTCTTCTGGGGTCAGTCTTGGAAGGTTGTATTTTTCCATGAAGTTGTCCATTTCTTCTAGGTTGTCCAATTTGTTGGCATATAATTTTTCATAGTATTCTCTAATAATTCTTTGTGTTTCCATGGTGTTCTTTGTGATTATTCCTTTTTCATTCTGATTCTGTTTATGTGTATACACTCTTTTTTTTTCTGATACTTCTGGCTAAGGGTTTATCTATTTTGTTTATTTTCTCAAAGTACCAGCTACTGATTTCATTGATTTTTTCTATTGTTTTATTCTTCTCTATTTTATTTATTTCTGTTCTTATCTTTAATATGTCTCTCCTTCCACTGACTTTGGGTTTCATTTTTTCTTCTTTTTCTAGTTTCTTTAGTTGTGTGTTTAGACTGTTTATTTGGGGTTGTTCTCGTTTCTTGAGATAAGCTTGTATTGCTATGTAGTTTCCTCTTAGAACTACCTTTGCTGCATCCCACAGGTTTTGGACTGTTGAGTTGTTTTCATTTGTCTCCGTGTATTGCTTGATCTCTGTTTTAAATTTGTCATTGATCCACTGATTATTTAGAAGCATGTTTAGCCTTCATGTGTTTATAGGCTTTTTTGATTTCATGTGTGATTTATTTCTAGTTTCATACCATTGTGTTCTGAGAAACTGCTTGATACAATTTTAATCTTTTTGAATTTATTGAGGCTCTTTTTATGGCCCAGTATGTGATCTGTTCTGGAGAATGTTCATGTACACTTGAGAAGAATGTGTATCTTGCTGTTTTTGGGTGAAGTGTTCTATATATGTCTGTTAGGTCCATCTGTTCTAATGTATTGTTCAATGCCTCTGTTTCCTTACTTATTTTCTGTCTGGTTGATCTGTCTGTTGATGTGAGTGGTGTGTTAATGTCTTTTAAAATGAATGTGTTGCAGTCTATTTCCCCTTTCAATTCTGTTAGTATTTGTTTTACATATTTAAGTGCTCCTATGTTGAATGCATAGATATTTATAAGGGTTATAGCTTCTTGTTGGACTTATCATATGTAATAGACCTTTCCCTTGTTACTTTTCTTTGGTTTGAAATCTATTTTGTCTGATAGCAGTACTGTTAATCCTGCTTTTTTTCCTCCCTATTATTTGCATGAACTATCATTTTCCTTCCCTTCACTTTTAGTCTGTGTATGTCTTTGGGATTGAAATGAATCTCTTGTAGGGTTTTGTTTTCTTATCTATTCTACCACTCTTTTGATTGGTACATTCAGTCCATTTACATTTAGGGTGATTATTGATACGTACTTACTGCCATTTTATTGTTTTCTGGTTGTTTTTATATTTCTTCTCTGTTGCTTTTTTCCTCTTAAACTCTTTTCTTATTATTTGATGGATGTCTTTAGTGCTGTGATTAGATTTTCTTTATTTCTTTTTTTTTTTTTAATCTATTGTAGGCTTCGGATTTGTGGTTACCAGAGGTTCAAGGATAGCTTCCTTACTATATAACAATCTATCTTAAATTGCTCATTACTCTTATTTTAGACACATTCTAGAGTTACTTTTTCCCCCTTTTCTTCCTCCTCTACACTTTATGTATTAGGTGTCATTCTGCATTTTTTGTGTATCCCTTGGCTGATTTTGTGAGTAGTTGATTTAATTTTGTACTTACTTGATAATTAATTAGTCTAGTACCTTTAACTGGTGACAGCTATTTCACTTTAGGAAGGTTTCTATCTACAGCAGCAGCCCCTTTAATATATCCTGTAGGGTTGGCATAGTGGTGCTGAATTCTTCCAACATTTTTTCTGAAAATTGTTTAATCTCTGTTTCAAAT